GTACTTCTATAATCAAAGCACCTATGGGTGTGAAGGAAGGAGGGTAAGGAGTTCAACATTGCTACACAGCAAGTTCACCGCTAGACTGTGCTACATTAGACTCTGTTAAAAACAAAAAATTCTGTTTAAGATTGATGAAATGGCCTTTTAAAAATAATGTTATATGTGCATATAATGTGTTCTGATCAAATCCAGCCCTTATTCCCTCCCTTACAATTTCTATTCCTCTACCTACTTTTCTCTCCCAACTTTATATGCTTTTTAAAAAATGAAAAAATAACTTCACTGAGTCTAGTTAATAGTTGCCTGTATGTGCATATGTGTAGGACTGTCTTACTGGAGCATGGGTAGCCTCTCAGGGGCCACATCCTTTAAGAAAACTGACTATTCCTTCCCAAGCAGCCATCAATTGCCAGAAACTTCTTAGGTAGGCCTGGGACAGGTAGAGTCCCTCCCCTGCCCATGTTGGAATTTTGACTGCCTTCATCTTGGGGAGGTTTTATCAAAAGGCCTTCTTTATTTTAAGAATTTAAAAGATGTTAATCAGTTAAAAGCCTATATATTTCATCTTATTTAACATTAACACATTTTTGAATAATTATAATCAATATATTGAACTTCAGTGGTGAATTCAGACAATGTCCTGGTAGTTTAGATTTCAACTAGAGCCTTGGCTTTTTGCATTCTCTAGTGTTACCTGCACTAGGTGGACGCATGCCTGCCTCATGACCAGGGAAGATGAGTTCTGCTCTATAGCCTCCCCCCAAGGCTGGCCTTCCGTCACTAGGAACTCACTGGAAGGAACTGAAAGGCAGTGGTTGCTAAGAGCACAGAGTGCATTTGGTAATGAAAACCTGCACTTTATCTCTTCCTTTTTAATCTGTGATCTGTTTACCTAAGATTTAGCCTGATACAGAAATTGTTTTGCTCCCAGGTAGGTCAGTTTTTGAAAGTGAGTCAGAACAGTAATAAGCCTCATCTAGGCCCTGGCCAGCCTAAGACTTGGGGCCAGAAAAGGTGAGTCCGAGCCTTGTCTGTATTCTGCCCTAGCTAAATGACCTTTAGGAGTCTGTTAATGGCTTTGTGCTCCATTTTCCCCACCTGCAAAGGGAAGCCAGACCTACCTTTCCCTCCCTACTTGGGTTCTAGAAGGCCTCTGAAACCCAGCTGAGACATCTAGAGGGATTTTCTATTTAGCAAAGCTTCTAAATGTTGTGATAAGGAAAGATTAGAGGGGATTGGTTGTCTCTTTTTCTTTCTCCCCTTTGTAGTTGTTTGGGATTTTTTTGTTGTTTGTTTTTATAGTCTTATATTATAACCTAGGCTGATCTGGAACTCAAAGCAACCCTTCTGCCTTTTGATTTTTGAGTGCTGTGATTACTTGCATTGGTAGTCTCTTTAAAAAAATTTTCAGTCTGGTGTCTTTATCAGAATTAGCATTTAGAAACCTAGTGCTAGATTAGTGTCATAATTGCTCTAAAAGCAAACCAGTTGAATCTTCATTAGCCACAAATCCTCATGGTGAATTCAGTCTATTTACTTGAGTGACAAATGCCAGTCAGGTAAAAGTTTCAAACTTGATGAGCCCAACATAGTGGTATATGCCTTTAATCCAAGCCACTTGGGAGACAGAAGCAGCATATCTCAGGCTAGCCTGGTGTATGTAGTGAGATCCTGTTTCATTTTTTTTCCAATTTGAAATGTTTTTATAATTGAACATGAATTACTTAGAATTTGGAGAGGGTCTGACGGTTGAGACAGTTTTGCTGTATAGCTCAGGCTGACCTGGAAATTGCAGTTTTCCAGCCATGTCTCCTAAGTCTGAATTGCTTCTTTAGTAGCAATATTTACCTACCTAGTTTTAATTGGTACTGGAGAGTCTCTGTCCAAGACCTGGGTAAAGACACAGATGGCCACCTTTCTGGAGGTGGTGAGGCCAGTATCTAGATTACAGTTCAGAATATTGAGAGTGCATAGAAAGGAATTTGTTATCAGATAAAAACTTGATCCACTTAGCAAAAGGCTACTCCATCAGACTTAAGATTGCCTACAGGAATGGACTGTGTGACTTAAAAGACTGCTGTCCTTCAGCCCTGTGCTCTGTCTCTCTCTCTCTCTCTCTCTCTCTCTCTCTCTCTCTCTCTCTCTCTCTCTCTCTCTCTC